TATATATAGAGAGAGAGAGAGAGAGAGAGAGAAATGGACACAAAAACTAATAAAAAAAATAGTAACAATAAAAGAAAGAATGTAACAAAACCACAAAAAATTTAACTAAAATTTAACATTTTAATTTCAAATATTAATAAAAACTAAAATGGTATATAAAAATAAAAATAAAAATAACACCGGTCCTGACACACAAAATAAACATGACAAAACACACCTAAATTTGCATATACATATCAACCTCCACACACAACTAACCTGGTCAATGCCACATCCACGACACTGTAATATAATGACCTCTAGAAGTTTGGCAGCATGGCATTCTGGGTCTTCCCCAGCATCACTAGTTAGGACCTGGGGGATGAGAGGTCAAAAGTTCAAATGTCGAATGCATATGGAAGAATGACATAAAATACACTTTAAATGGAATAATTTAATAGAGGAAATGCATAATAAGACCTTTTTGCACATGGTGTAAATGACCTCCAGGTATTTGGGGTCTGACAGCAGCATATTTGTGTCCACAGTAACATAATTGTGCAAGAGGGGCATCATATCTGCATCAACAAGGTAGTAAATCACATCATTAACCAAGTACTCAATATCGCCACGATCATTTTCAAATGACTCACGTAAATACGCACATCCATCAACTTAATGACTCTTTCAACCTAGTTCAATCACGACATGATTTATAGTTTAAGGTGGAGCGGAGAGATCAAGTCTGAGCTTGGCTCTCGGCTGTGTTTTACACCACAGGTGAAGTATCTGAGCTACATGGGTGTCTGAGACCTGTGAAGTAGTCAAAGCAGTCATGCTGGAAGACGTCGTACAGGACCCCCAACAGCTGCCACATCTGAAGGGAGATGGAATAACAGGTGAGTCCAAACGCCAGCGACAAGATCTCCTCATAAAACTCTGAAAAAGACAGAGAGAATGTGACCGATCGCCTCTGAAACAGAGACATTATGTTTTGAGGACAGTCAAAAGGATATATATTTTGCATAATTAAAAAGTATTGATATTGAAATTGTAATTCCAAGCTCCACCAAGTGGTCAAATGGTGCATTTTTTAAGGGGGATTTCAAACTGACTGCTGGAGTTTTGACAAGCAACTACACTGTAAAAAATGACCGTGAATTTAACGGTAAAAGACT